AAACGTTAACGTTAAACGTTAAACGGTTAAAACGGTTAAACGGTTAAACGGTAACGGTACGGTACGTACGTAGTACGTACGTACGTACGTAGTAGTAGTAGAGAGAGAGAGAGAGAGAGAGAGAGAGGGATGGCTATTGAAAACTTTGTTTGCTTGCTAAAGGACAGGCCAACCCCATCAATCATATCTAATCGCTAAAAACAAACCCCTACTTATCCTGATAATTCTCCCATTAATTATTATCATAAGCAAGCAGGTGAGCAAATTTATACTGAATATGAAGTACAGAATGGACGGCTATGATTTCCGACAATGCAGAGTGCTTTCTAAAAATCAAGGATCGGCCCAACATGTGTCTGAATGTGAACCGCCCGTTCAGTCGAAATGGACAGAGTACCGTCGAGGATTAACGGTCCGCATGCGATCTCGATGGAAGAGGTGTATATAAATACAGCGCTTGCCCATGAGAGAGCATCCCATGTATTAATTCCATACGTTAGTGAGTTAGAGAGAGAAGGGATTGAGAATAGCTATTTTTTAGAGAGAGAGAGAAAGGAGAGAGAGTCTCACAAATCATACAGGTAGAGAGAGAAAGTTCACAATAGTTGGAGAGAGAGAGAGAGAGACCCAAATTATATATTAAGAAATCCCCAAATCGTTTGCGATTAGTTAGAGAGAGGGGGAGAAATCATGTGAGTTAGAGAGAGAAAGTCTCATAAGGAATTAGTTAGAGAGAGAAAGGAGGTGTTGGGGAGAGGAGGACGTGTACTTCATCCGCAAGTTCGGGCCTCATTCGACGGTAAGTCTAATCAAAATTTTCAAGCTTATCTGCTATTTGCCGAGAGACAAAAACTCATCATAAAGTTTTTAGAGAGAGATTATCCTCACACAATTTCATGTAAAAAATAGCAGTCTTTTGGAATTTGAGTGAGATGCTCTCTATAATCTAGAGAGAGAATATCGCCTCAAATTAAAGAGAGAAACGAGTAGTTTGTAGAGAGAAAATAGAGTTCTAGTGAGAGAATCCTACCCTGGAGTGAGGGAAATTATTGTCCCCAAGCAAGAGAAATCACCAAATTTAGAGAGAGAAACTCCTCCCATTGGAGAGAGAGTGAGAAATACATAAGAGTGAGAATCGAATCTCCAATCAGAATTGGAGAGAGAGGAGGAGCACAGGAGATCTTAGAGAGAGAGAGAGCCTCTTCCCAAAGAGGAGAGAGAAAAAATAGAGAGAGAAGGAAGAGAGAGTCCCATCTCTGATGAGAACCGGAAAGAGAGAGCGATAGCAGTGAGAAGACGAAGAAGGAGAGAGGTTAGAGAGAGAGAATCCCATTTCCAAACAGAATTGGAGAGAGAGAGAACAAAAACTGAGGTTAGAGAGAGAGCAAGAAGAGAAGTTCTAGAGAGAGAGAGGAATCGAAGAGTCGATCTTCTGGAGATGGGCGGGGAGAGCCTCCTGGAGGTGCTCAATGTGCGCATTGAGGGCTCCGGCAACCGCGTCATCGTCCTCTCCCATGGCTTCGGCACCGACCAGTCGGCATGGCAACGAGTCCTTCCTTATCTGCTCCGCGACCACCGAGTCGTCCTCTACGACCTCGCCTGCGCCGGCAGCGTTAATCCTGACCACTTCGACTTCCGCCGCTACTCCACGCTCGACGCATACGCAGACGACCTCCTCAAAATACTCGATTCCCTCGGCGTCAGCTCATGTGTGTTCGTCGGCCACTCGGTGTCCGCCATGATCGGTTGCTTGGCCTCCTTAAGACGCCCAAATCTTTTCCAGAAGCTTGTCCTCATAGGGGCTTCGCCCAGGTTAGTTACTTGCTCCTGTAATTTTCCTTTTCTCTCTAATATTATTCTCATTTCTCTGTCTGCAAAATTTTCCCATTCCCAATTCTTTCTTCTCTCTGTATACATCTCTGTTTTGATTTTTGTTTTTTTTATCTTTGATTATTTTCTTTTTCCTTTTCCCCCATTTCTTTCTGTAATTTGCCCCATTTTCTAATTTTCCGTCGATGATCATCAAATTCCGATGATTTCATGGTAATTTTTATTTGGTTTTGCTTCCTTTCTTTTCGATTTCTTTGATCTTCGATTCTCATTTTTCTTTACATTAGTTTGAATTTCTTTTGTGCTGGTTTCCCATTATCTTCTTTCTTCCATTGGGCTTTCTGGTTTTTCAGTTTTTTTACAGTAAATTGAATTTGGGTTTTCCTGCTGGTTTATTATCTGATTGATTTTTTATTAGTAGTCTAGGGGGAATCTTCAATATGCTTAACCATAATTCATTTTTATTAAAATTTTATGAGTGGGATCTTTCTTGGACACGAAGTCACCATTTTTAGCATATGCAGTTGGTATGCGTGAAAATATCTCAAAATAAATAAATGTATTTTGAAAAGAAAGAACTCCTCTTAGGTATTAGGTGTGAGTCCTTTTTCACACTAATTAATTTATAATTGGCGGAGACAAATTGTTATAAAAAACATTAATACCTAATCACATCGAGGAGTTATTTTAATAAAAATGAGATTGTGATTTAGCCAAATTTATAGGATTAAATTATTATTTTTTATTCATATGGCTACAATAGTTATAGATGTCCAAAAACAATATTAATTTACATAAATAAAACCTAATACAATCTATGATTATTTCTTGTATGTCATTATAACTCTATGGTTATACAAAACACAATGCATGAAATTGAATTAAGAAATATGGAGTCATTAAATTACTGGATAGCTTACTTCAAACCATCCCGAAAGATTTTATATACGCTACCGTGGGTCTCCTCATCTAATGGCACAAGGGATCTTAATCCTAATCTTGTCTCATAATTTATTAAGTCTGGACAAAATCTCTTGAGAACATTATACGAGATAAGAACAACACACTCTCAAAGCACAAGCTTAAACGATAACTTTATAGCTAGGGCGTGGCCCCTTATGGTTTCTCTAATCATAATAGTAATTAAAGGATGGGGTTTCTATGAGTCAGGCTGATTAGAAACCATCCAAAATTCTCTAATCATATGCAAGCCCCCATTAAAATTCAGTTTGGATGATTTTTTATTTATTTATAAATTTATCATTTAGGCCAAGATGATCATAAATATGAAAAGAAAAATAAACTTTTAAAATTAAAATCATAAATTTTTTAGTATTTTTTATACATTTTTCATATCTTATTTATAGACTATATAGACAATACACTTTAAATAACATCCTATCCTATCTTTAGGATGGACGTTTGTAAGTTAGCGGGCTCACTCAAAAAATACATTTTTTTAATTAAAATTTCAAAACTAAAATGAAGTATTTTCACGTGTACCCGTAAAGTTACCACGTGAGTCAAAATCCGAAATTTGAGGGAGAATTCTGGCAGGCAGGGGCCCCATGTTTTCAGAATTTCCTCCTCGATCATTTCCGTACCATTGCCAAACATTACTGAGGAATTTTAGAAAAACGTGTTTTATGTTTTTTAAAAGGCCTTGCTATTTGCACAGTATTATTTCTTTTTGTATCCTAATTTTTTGAATTTATGGACTTTTGAAGGGTATTTGGCTATCACAAAAGTAAGCCATTAGCATGCGGGCAGGATAAAGTAGGAATGCGAGCTTGACAATAAATATATTTTTTAAATATATTTTAATTTTAATTTTTAAAAAATATATAATTTTTAATATGAAGATAATAAATATAAAAAAATAAATAAATTTTAAAAATTAAAAATAATAATTATTTTCAAAAAAACATTTGGACGGTTAGTTGCAATTGTTTTAAATAAACCATCTATTTACATCCATCTTTAAGTTGGATGCTTTGTACCTATGGACAAAAACATGGGGCCAAATAGTAACACATTTCTCGAACTTTTTAGTGCAATTTGGTAGCAAATTCAAAAGGTTCAAAACTTTTTGGCAAAGTTAAAATTTGGACCATTTCCCGAGTTATTTCATATCATCTTTGAACAGGGGGTTAAGCTTGCCATAACTCTATGATCCGTCCTATAAAATAAAAAACGTCATCATCATCATAACCTTATCGGATAAAATTGTCCTATGCAATTGGAACGACACATATGACACGTACACCTTAAAAAATGGTCCCGATTTCAAACCCTTGAAGTTTATTTTTTTGTCCTACACCACCTAGTTTTGTTCTCTCTCATGACATCCTCTTAAATTAGTAACACAAACGAATTCAATAAAAATACTGAAGTTTCCTACTGTACTATTACATCATCATATCTGTCAAATGCCGATATGGGAGACAAATGGATGGTTGGGATGTCTCTTTCCTTTGGTCTAAGTCCGAGTCTTCCGGGACTTGGGAGCGGAGCGAATGATGCCCAAGAGATAGTTTAGTTGGGCATGTTAAAGTACTGTAGGAAGCCTAAGAACCTAATTGACACCGACGATATCTTATGGACAATGATTTGAATAGGGCTAATGTTTGATCAAAGTAAAGCATCTCCTCAAAGCTCACCGAAATGTTTTGTTCTGGTGTTGAAAAAATTTCGAATTAGTTATCTTGGCCTTTACTATTACGGTTGTGAAAAAAAAATATGAAGATTTTAAACCCTAATAGTAGTGTATAGTACAACACATTATCTAGATTGTCCTTTTCACCATAAAAATGGTTTTTAGGGATTCACAAGACTTGTACTATTTTTTTAGTGTTAAATTTTATAATTAGTTTTAAAAATTAATTTTACAGCCATTATATAGATTTTTGATGCTCAAAATAGTTTGGAGACGAAGATTTGAAGCACGGCTTTACATTGTTTTCATAACAAAGACTATTATACTTTATAGAAAATATACTAAATTGAACCAATCTTAATGCGGGGAAACTTCCTCCACAGTGAAGAGCAGGAAGGGCTAAGTACTTGGGTCTAGCCCTAGCCTAGGAACTCGGCCGAGTCCTGTCCAACAAAGATAGCTAAAACAAAAAGGGTGAAAACAAAGAAAGAGGGTTGAGGACAGGCCAAAGCTTGGGGCCAAACGTTCGCGACATCTTTCGCCCCTCTTCCCTCCCTTGGTTTCCAAGGGGCCTTTGCTTGAAAAAAAGCATAAGCCCCTCTACTGAACCAGGTTCTCATAGTGGATGCTCTTCACTGTGACCACCAAGCTCAAGGGTCACCTAGAGAGAGAGAGAGAGAGAGAAGGGGGGTGTCAAACTTTGAGATCTTTAAAAGAGTGGAAGACAGTGACAGTGCAAGCTGTGAGAGTGAATTCCACAGAGAGAGACGGGTTTTGAAAGAGAGAGATTAAAGAGGCAGATGGGATTTGGATGAGAGAGAGATCAAGACACAAATGGGTTTTGAAGGATAGAGAGATCAAGACAAATGGGTTTTGGAAGAAAGAGAGGGATGAAATAGACAGATGGGTCTCTTCTAAATTGCCCCAACCTCTATTCTCCTCATTTTGACTCTTAACTTTGAGGGCTATGTTTTCTCAGCAACTTCACTATCTTTTGGGAAACGCACCATATTCTTTTTACCTAAAAAACACGTCATATTATCCAAATAAGAACCAAGAATTCCAGTTTGTTACACTGAGAAATCTTCATTCTTTTCTTAGGTTCCTGAATGACAGGGACTACCATGGAGGATTTGAGCATGGCGAGATCGAGAAGGTGTTTGGCGCTATGCAGGCCAATTACGCAGCCTGGGTGGCGGGCTTTGCACCTATGGCTGTAGGGGCAGATGTCCCGGAAGTTGTTAGGGAGTTCAGTCGGACACTGTTTAACATGCGTCCAGACATCTCCCTGTTTGTGTGCCGAACCATCTTTAACAGTGACCTTAGGGGCATGTTGAGCTCAGTGAAGACCCCTTGCTACATCATACAAACTGCTAAAGACGTCTCCGTGCCAGCCTCTGTGGCCTTATACATCAAGGCTCACTTGGGTGGTAAGGCCACCATAGACATGATGCCCACTGAGGGCCACCTGCCGCACCTCAGTGCTCCGGCATTGCTACACCAAGCCCTGCGTCGAGCCTTGGCTCAACGTTGAGCTCGATTTAGGGTCATCCAGATCTTCTCTCGGTTTTTAAAGGTGGTCTTGTTCTTTCTGATCTCTACACATTTCACTGCTTAGCAGGAAATTATCTTCCCACTAAGAAAAAAAATTGTGCCTCAGTGAGGGATTAAGGCATATGACCCCAATTTATAGGGGATTATCTTGTCCACGAGAGAGTTCTAGTGGGGCACAAACCAGGTGGATTGTGGGTTGATTCGTCTTTATTTTTTCTTTTTCTTTTTTAAATGAGAAAAATAAGGATAATGCCACAATTTGCGTGTTTTTGTCACAATGAATGGTACATGTAAATTTCAAAAGGTGAAAATTAATAGAGGAGTGCTTTTTGCTTTGCCCTCTCTCTAGGTCTAAAAGGCCATGTTCTCTTTCCAACTTTCTTTGAATGCTGATAACATGAATTAACAAAATGTAATTAACATTAGCATGGCAAGGTTTACTCAAGCTGCACACAAATGCAAGTTTGTATTAAACATCAAAAGTAGACGTATTGGAATTGTCTATCTGGGGATTTAAAAAAGCAAAAAAGTTTATATAAGTGCGAGGTTTAAGGTGCACTTCAAAAATGTCACCAGAAAGGTTGTTTTAATGCTCAAAATTCCACAAATATATCATCTAAACCTCAAGATACATCGATATAAGAAAAAAAAATGGATTTCAAGTTTTGGAAATAGTGCATTTTGTAACGCATTTTTGGATTGTCGATTTTCAAGTTTTCATAGATTTGCTCAATCTACATTATTTTTTAATGGGAATGATTACATAAAACAGTTGTATAGTAGTATAATGCAATCATCTTCAAAAACCATGTTAGAGACATTTGTTTGATATGAATTTTTAAATGTACATTCTTTTCATTCTGAAGAACAATCACAAAAAAAAAAATTCTGAAAAAATGCAATAGAAAGTTTTCATTCTAGCCCAATTAATATGAGCCGTCCATTTTATTGAGATGGTTAGATATAGGCCTTAGAAGGATTTTTTTATTCTTAAAACTTGTATATAGCGTTATCATCATTAGATTAATAATGCTAAAAAATTAAAAAAAGTGCTTTGAATTTGTTAAGGTCTAGATCTTGAAATTCACCAAATGGATGGTCGAGATTCATTGTTGGAAGGGTACTAATTTGATCATATCTAATGTGCAAATTAATTTTTTTTTTTTGTTAATTATGAGGATGAAGAAAATGTGTGTTCAAAATTTGGGGTCTCATAAATATCAAAAATATGGTTTTCTAGATGTGTGGTTGCATTATACTACGTTACAATCGTTGCATTAGATCATTTCCCATTTTTGAAGGTTTAAATTTTATAATTAGATATAAAAATAAATTTTAAGGCTATCACAAAGATTTCCAATATTGAAACTATTTCTCGACACTATTTGAAGGCGTGCTTACTTTGATTGTTTAGAGCCTCGGCCTTATACAAACCGCACCCTTTAATTTAAAAAGAACACTGGTTTGACTCGAGAATATTGAGTCAAATGACCGTGTCGAAATCAAGCGAGTCACCCAAAAGAAACAAAGAAAACTCTATCCAAGCTTTCCCACATGAAAAACGACCTTTTTTTTTTTTTTTAAGGATCAATTGACCCATCGTTATGTTAAGTCCCCTTGATGGATCTATAGGTGAATGCAATGGTTTAAAAAGCGGATCGGTGACCTAGATCGAGCACTTCAAAAACCGATCTGGATCGATGAATCGGCGATCCGGATCGGGAATCGACTGAATAGGACAGATTAAAGCTTCAAAAAAATCTGAAAAAATTATTAAAATTCATTATAAATGTTGTTTTTTAGGAATCCAATAAGAAATGAGGGTACTACATTATTAACTTTCATTTTTTTCATCAATTTGTGAATATTGAGATGCTCTTGTATAAACTTAAGTATTAAATTTACATCACATAAAAGAAAAATCATAGAATTATCATGGATAAAATATATAATTATATATGGACTATAATAAAGAGTAGACTAAATCAATGAAAGAATGGCCATTAAAATCTCGTTTTGGCGAAAAACCCTAATCCGCCAAAAAACCCCAAATTATTACAGCCTAACTAACTATAATCCAAAATTATTACGATATAACTAATTAAAATATTATATACTAAAATTATAATTATTAGTTTATATTTTATAATTATTTTATTAGACAAATAATAACAAATTTAAAATATTTTATAAGATTATCTAATTTAAAATGTATCATTGACAACTGTAAGAAAAAGAGTACATTACATGATTTATAATGTAAAATTTAATAAATAAAATAAAAGATTTGGTTATCAATGTAAAAATTAATAAAATGCGTACAAATTTTGGAAATAACACTTCAATTTTTCAAAAATTTACTTTTTTAGGTTTCTATAATAAATTTAGTGAAAGAGATTGTTAATAGAAAGATGGAGATTTCAAATAGAATAAACTTTTTATTTTTTATTTTTTTATGCCTTTCATATTATTTACAAAAATAATTATAGCACTATACACAACAAAAATTATCTGCTATACAAAAAATTAACTTTTTTATTTTTCATTTTTTTATACTTTTTATATTATTTACAAAAATATTTATACCACTATGTACAACAAAAACTAGTGATTCGACCTTGGGACATCAAATGAAGTAACAAAGGTCATAACCATTCCGCTGTCTCACCACATGTGATTATAAGTTGTTGATTAATACAATATATTTACATTCCGTTTTCGCTTAATGATGTTTGGGAATTATCCCACATCGAAAGATGAGTATTCAACTTTGGTTATAAATACCTATGTACTATGAACTAAGGTATTCGCCCGGAAATATTGGGGCAACCTCACACGTGATTTTGTCCCACGTGTCCGCTTGTTGCACGTGTTGGAGTGGTGACGTCAGAATCGCCGGTTGATGATGTCATCGGGCGGTTTACTGTTTAAAACCGCCCGGGCGGTTCCCGTTTTATATGTGGAACTGCTCGTTCTGAAAACCGTGTCCGTGTGCACATGTCCGCTTGTCGCACGTGTTGGAGTGGTGACATCAGAATCACCGGTTGATGATGTCATCAAGCGGTTTACTGTTTAAAACTGCCCCGAGCGGTTCCCATTTTATGTGTGGAACGGCTCGTTCTGACAACCCTCGGTGAATGTATTGATCTTTTATCTCTCAAATGAGATCCATCATTTTTGTTTGGGAAAAGTTTATATGGAGCCGAGGCTCCAAACAATTAAATTTGAGCCTACTTCAAAAATTTCACTAGAAGAGGTTGTTTTGATGCCCAAATATCTTCAAATTGATCATCTCGACATCAAGATGCATGGACATGGGAAAAAAATGGATTTCAAGTTTTGAAAATAGTGCATTTTGTAACGCATTTTTGGACCGTCAATTTTCAAGATTTTCAAGTTTTCATAGATCTCTCGATCTACACTATTTTTAAAGTTTTAAACTTTATAAATAAATATAAAAATATATTTTAAAGCTATCACAAAGATTTCCAATGTTGAAACCACATTTGTCGATATTGTTTGAAGGTAGGCTCTAATTTGATCGTTTAGAGCCTAGCTCTATACAAACCGCACCCTTTTTGTTTATGCATTATTTCACCTTTTCATAAAAAACAGAGCTGATTTAGAGTGCTAAACTACCCATCTATCGAACAATTGACTTCTCCCTTCAATTGCAACCAAATTACTTGAAATTTGATTCATTTGATTGTTGATGCAGTCCTCTATCAAAGCCACACTCATATTTGTTGGATCGAATCAAGTTTTTAAAGAGATCAATGATAGACATTTTGGGGCTTTTCATCATCGACGCTCAAACTCCCTGATTCAATTTTTTTTTTTTTGAATTTTAAATCAATGACTTCTTTAAAGATGGTGAGAAAGAAGGGTTTAAGATCAATTTACACCAGGTATATTATTTTCCAAAATAATATTTATAATAATTTTATTTGGTTTGTGGTTTAGGGTTTTCTTGCAAAATTTCTCTCTAATTCAAAATTTTAAACCAATAATCCCTTAGGGAAATTGATCCAGAAAGTGTTAAGTGGACCCAAACCAGTTCTATGATTTGTTAATAAAACTTATATTTTTATTTTTGGGGGGGCTCGATTTTCTGTTTTCATAAAAATATTTTCTCTATTCTGAAAATTTTCAAAATTTAACTCAATTACTTCTTTGTAGATTTTGATTCAGAAGGGTTAGGATTGATTTAAATAATTTAACACGGAATAAAAATGGAAAAATTTGAAGAAGATATCTAATTTTTTAGGAAGATTTATATTTATATTTATTTTAATTATTTTGGCTCGATTTAAGGTTTTCTCCAACTTCTTATTTGAACCGAAATTTTTTAGCATTTCAATGAATGCTTTTTTTTTTTATGATTTTGATCCAGAAGGAGTAAGTATTGATTTAAATTGGGAAATTATTTTCCATTTATATTTGCATTTATTTTAATTTTCTTGCTCGATTTAGAATTTCCTGAAATTTCAAGAAAATTCATAATTCGTGTACTCATTATGTTTACTTTATTATTGTTGTTGTTGTTGTTGTTATTATTTTTGTTCCTGTTGTTGCTGTTGTTGTTGATGTTACTGTTACTATTGCTGTTGTTGTTGGTGTTGATGTTGTTGTTATTGTTGTTGTTGTTGTTGTTACTGTTGGTGCTGTTGTTGCTGTTGTTGTTGTTGCTGTTGTTGCTCGTGTTGTTGTTGCTGTTGTTGCTGTTGTTGCTGCTGTTGCTGTTGCTGTTGCTGTTGCTGTTGCTGTTGCTGTTGCTGTTGCTGTTGCTGTTGTTGTTGTTGTTGTTGTTGTTGTTCTTGTTGTTGCTGTTGCTGTTGTTGTTGCTGTTGCTGCTGCTGTTGTCGGTGTTGTTGTTGTTGGTACTATTATTATTATTATTATTATTATTATTATTATTATTATTATTATTATTATTATCATCATTTCTATCATTATTCTTATTATTATCATTATTATTAAGAAAAAGGTTTCTATACTTCCCCTATAGTATAGAAGTTATATCCTCCCCTTACCATCCAGCCGTCCAATTTTGATCAAGAGAGTCACTCACCGTTTGATCTTATATCCGACGTCTCAAAGTATTTTTTATTTATTTATTTTTATACAAATTTTATGAATATGAAATTTGGTACATGCCATCTTCTCATTGGGGCGCACCTATAAAAAATATTAAAAATAATTTTTCGATAAATTAAAATGACCAAAATACCCCTATGACCAAAATACCCTTAAAACTTTCAGGGTTTTTTGGTTATTTTATTTTATTGAAATTATTTTTGTATATTTTCTGCTAGTGCGAGTTAATAGAGAAATGGACGTC